TGAGGCAGGAGAATTGCCTGAACCCAGGAGGTGGAGGTTGCGGTGAGCCGAGATCGCGCCATTGCACTCCAGCCTGGGTAACAAGAGTGAAACTCCGTCTCAAAAAAAAAAAAAAAAAAAAAAGGGTGAAACTCCATCTCAAAAAAAAAAAAAAAAAAAAAAAAAAAAAGAAAGGGGCTTTGTGGAGCAGCTTGCACTGGGAAGGGTGTCCGGGTCTGGTCCCTTCTGGCTTCACACTGAGTGAAGCAGCAGGAATCTTGCTTCTCTTAGCAGGTCTTTCCCACCCCACCTGGAGAGAACCACACAGAGCAGGGGCTGGGAGCCTGGGTTTCCTGATACAGACGAGGGCCCCTGTATTGAGACAGTGCGGTGCGGGATGCAGGTCAGGGATGGATGAGAGCCTGTGGTGAGGGCTTCCGTGGGGCTGTGCCCGAGGCAGGATGCAGGTTGGCCAAGGCCACAAAGCCCCACCCCCTGCAGGTCCCTTTTGCAACATCATGGGTGGAGCCAGACCCAGGCGGGTGCTGGGGTGGGTGCTGTGGCAGCTGGCACTGTGCCAGTGTACACCAGGTCCCCACAGAACACTCCAGAGGCCCGAAGACCTGGGCCAGGCCAGGAGTGGATCTGAAGGCCCTCCACCCACGTCACCTGCCACACGATGACCATCCCCAGCACCCTCACCCACGCCACCTGCCACATGACGGCCGTCTCCAGCACTCTCACCACATCACCTGCCACACAATGCTATTCCCAGCACCCTCACCCACGTCGCCTGCCACACGATGGCCATCCCCAGCACCCTCACCCACGTCGCCTGCCACACGATGCCATCTCCAGCACCCTCACCCACGTCAACTGCCACATGACGGCCATCCCCAGCACCCTCACCACGTCACCTGCCACATGACGGCCGTCCCCAGCACCCTCACCACGTCACCTGCCACACGATGCCATCTCCAGCACCCTTACCACGTCACCTGCCACATGACGGCTGTCCCCAGCACCCTCACCACGTCACCTGCCACACGATGCCATCTCCAGCACCCTCACCACGTCACCTGCTACACGATGGCCGTCCCCAGACCCTGCCACAGAGACAAAGGGGCCACCCTGATGAGGGACAGGAATCTTGCTGGCTCTGTCCCGCCTGCTCATAGAGGACATAGGCTCACAGAGATGCCCTGTGCCTGTCCCTGGGTCATCTCAACACTGTGTCGCACCCTTCTCTGGGTCTGACGGCTTTGGACAACTCCTGGGCAGAGCTGTGCCTCACAGGGACGGGCCGAGGGCATCTGCCACTGTATTCTTCTCACCGCTCTGCCGGGAAGCCTGGGACCCATCCACTCCCCATGTCTACCACACGTGTGCCAGCCTCATGTCGTGGCGCTCTGGGGCACACCACCACCCTCGGCTAATATCTAAATCATCTGTAGAGACAGGGGCTCACTATGTTGCCCAGGCTGCTCTCGAACTCCTGGGCTCAAGGAATCCTCCCGACTCAGCCTTCCCAAGTACTGGGATTACAGGCATGAGCCACTGCACCCAGACAATTATTTTGATTTTTAATTTAAAAAATTTTTTATATGACACATTATTACTCAGAACACAAATTGTTTTTTATTTGCAGCTGAAGTCACTGCTTTTTTTTTTTTTTTTTTTTTTTGAGACAGAGTTTTGGCCAGGCGCTGTGGCTCACGCCTGTAATCCTAGCACTTTGAGAGGTCGAGGTGGGTGGATCACCTGAGGTCAGGAGTTCAAGACCAGCCTGGCCATCATAGTGAAACCCCATCTTTTTTTTTGTTGTTGTTTTTTGTTTTTGTGTTTTTTTTTGAGACGGAGTTTCGCTCTTGTTACCCAGGCTGGAGTGCAATGGCGCGATCTCGGCTCACCGCAACCTCCGCCTCCTGGGTTCAAGCAATTCTCCTGCCTCAGCCCCCTGAGTAGCTGGGATTACAGGCACGCGCCACCATGCCCAGCTAATTTTTTGTATTTTTAGTAGAGACGGGGTTTCACCATGTTGACCAGGATAGTCTCGATCTCTCGACCTCGTGATCCACCCGCCTCGGCCTCCCAAAGTGCTGGGATTATAGGCTTGAGCCACCGTGCCCAGCTTAAACCCCATCTTAAAAAAAAAAAGAGAGAGAGAGAGAGACAGAGTTTTGCTCTTGTTGCCCAGGCTGGAGTGCAATGGCGCGATCTTAGCTTATTGCAACCTCTGCCTCCTGAGTTCAATCAATTCTCCTGTCTCAGCTTCCCAAGTTGCTGGGTGCACCACCACACCCAGCTAATTTTGTATTTTTAGTAGAGACAGGGTTTCTCCATGTTGGTCAGGCTGGTCTTGAACTCTCGACCTCAGGTGATCCACTAGCCTCAGCCTCCCAAAGTCCTGGGATTACAGGAGTGAGCCACCACACCTGGCCAAATTTTTAAAATTTTCTGAGTACATAGTATGTGTATATTTATTTATCCTGCATGGTTTCCTGTGAGAATTCTACTGAGTCTTCAAGAAACACAACCTCCATTTCAAAACAAACTCTTTCAGAGACTAGAAAAAAGAGGCAAACGTCCCGGCTGGTTTTATTAGATTAGTGTAGCCTGCAGAACAAGGCTGGACTCATAGAACACAGGGTAACTTCAGGCTGAATTCACTTAGGAACATTGTTGCAAACATCCAAAATCATTAACCCGTTGACTCTAAAAAAATGTGCTCACAATTACAGTAAAACCTGATCAGGACTAACCCAGGTTGGTTTAAAGCTTAGGAGATCCAATCATCTAATTTGCCAGTCAACAGAGCAGAGATAAACAACCATATGATAATCTGATCGATAAGCGTTTGATTCTTTCGGTTGATACATTCAACCACCAACTGCAATGAAACTCTTAGTAAATTTGGGGAGACCTCACCCAAGCCCACAACAAATGTCCTCTCCTGTGACTGAGGGACTGGTAGGTATGGCCACTCCGTCCCTCCACCCAGCTCAGCACAGGAAGCACACAAACCAGGAGAAACAGGCTGGGCGCGACGGCTCATTCCAGCTACTGTCATTCCAGCTACTCAGGAGGCTGAGGCGGGCGGATCACCTGAGGTCAGGGGTTCGAGACCAGCCTGACCAACATGGCGAAACCCCATCTCTACTAAAAATATGAAAAGGAGCCAGGCATGGTGGCGCATGCCTGTAATTCCAGCTGCTCTGGAGGCTGAGGCAGGAGAATCACTTGAACCCGGAGGGGCGGAGGTTGCAGTGAGCCGAGATCGCACCAGTGCACTCCAGCCTGGGCAATGGAGTGCGACTCCATCTCAAATAAACAAAAACAAAATCAAAGAGAAAGGAACAAAGAGTGTCAGGATTGGAAAGGAAGGGACGGGCTGCAGGGTCTGTAGGCGATGTGGTGTTCCTGAAGCCCGTCCAAGGTCACCTGCAGACAGTGGCGGGGTCACAAGAGCAGCGAGGCGGCTTATCCAGATCAATGCAGGACCAACAGCTGGAGATACACAGGGCTTCTGGGCGGGTGCGGTGCTCACGCCTGTAATCCCAGCACTGTGGGAGGCCGAGGCAGGAGGATCGATGGAGCCAAAGCGGTCAAGACCAGCCTGGGCAACATAGCAAGAGTCTATCTCTAGAAAACAATTTTTTTTAAGCCATGCAGAGCCTGGGCAACATAGCAAGACCCCATCTTTACAAAAAACACGAAAATTAGCCAGGTGTGGTAGCGTGCACCTGTAGTCCCAGCGACTCAGGAGCCTGAGGCAGGAGAATCACTTCAACCTGAGAGGCGGAGGCTGCCGTGAGCCGAGATCGTGCCACTCCACTCCAGCTCAGGAGACAGTACAAGACTCCATCTCAAACAAACAAACAAACAAACAAACAAACAAAAAAGATCAAATTCCTTCTCTTAAATTCCCTTTTGCTTAAACAGGGAGTCTGGTTCCTGCTTCCTGCTGAGCCCTGCTCAACACAGGTGCGGAACAGGCAGCTCCCAGAGGGAAGAGAGGGTGCTTGAGCCCAAGAGTGGCCTGAGAGATGCGACTGGAATCTCATTCCTTATTCAGGTCCCTAGCTTTAAAAAATTTTTTTGACAGGGTCTTGCTCTGTCACCCAGGCTGGAATGTAGTGGTGTGATCATAGCTCACTGCTCAACCTCCTGAGTTCAAGCAATCCTCCTGCCTCAGCCTCTGGAGTGGCTGGGGCTACAGGAGTGCACCACCACACTCGGCTAATTTTGTTGACTTTTTGTAGAGATGGAGTCTCACTTTGTTGCCCAGGCTAGTCTTGAACTTCTGAGCTCATGTGATCCTCCTGCCTCAGCCTCTCAAAGTGCTGGGATTGTAGGTGTGAGCCACTGAGCCTGGCTCCCAACAATAAGTGTTTCTGACATCTTTCCACTCCATCTCATTTTTTGTTCTATTTCTTGAGATGGAGTCTTGCTCTGTTGCCCAGGCTGGAGAGCAACAGGCAATCTCAGCTCACCTCAACCTCCACCTGTGAGGTTCAAGCAATTCTCCTGTCAGCCTCCCAAGTAGCTGGGATTACAGGCGTGCACCACCACACTCAGTTAATCTTTGCATTTTTAGTAGAGACGGGGTTTCACCATGTTGGCCAGGCTGGTCTTGAACTCCTGACTTCAAGTGATCCACCCACCTCAGCCTCCTACAGTGCTGGGATGACAGACGTGAGCCATGGTGCCCGGCCCGTGCCCGTCTCTTGACACCTGTATCAGTGTCCTGGGACTGCCACATAAAGTGCCGCAAACTGAGGGGAGAATTTTATTCTCCTTTGGTCCCAGAGGGGTCAGCAGGGCTGCTTGCTTTGCAGGCTTGGAGGGAGGGGCTGCTCTGTGCCTGCTTCCTGATCCCCAGAGGCTCATATTCACACACGCATGCATACTCACACATGCACGCACACCTGCACACACATGCATGCACACATTCACACACACGCACACTCAGACACACGCACACACACATGCACACACACGCACGCTCACACATGCACACATGCTCACGCTCGCTCACCCAGCGTTGCCTGCAGTCCTTGGCTTGCAGCCACATCACTCCCATTCCTGCCTGTCTTCCCTGCCCCTCTAGGTCTCAACCCCTCCTCCCCCTTTCTCCTATAAGGACGCCTGTCCTTGGATTTAGGCCCACCCTAATCCCAGGATGCTCTCATTTTGGCATCCTTAATCACATCTGCCAAAGCCCTGTTTTCCAATAAATTTCACATTCCTAGGTCCTGGGGCTCACGCTTGAACGGATCTTTTCCAGGAACGCGGTTTGACTCACCATGGCACCCTACTCCTTCCCCTGCATGCATTTTCCTCCTTCACACGCACTTCCTGTAGGAGCCTCCCCGTGCAGACACAGCACTGGGCAACTTCGAGAGCCTTCCCCATAACACAGCGCTGGATTTTGGTGGACCTCACACCTGATTCCAAGTATAAAGCACCCAATAGAAGATAAAAGGAAAGCATCACCTGCATCCTCCAAGTGAGACTCTGACGTTCCTGGCTCTGCTCAGGGCAAGCTTGGCTCACCCAACCTGGACTGGCCTGGGGCCCGACGGCTCCTCGGCCTCTCGTGCCCACCCCTGCAAAGCCTGGGACCCCTGCCTGCAGGCTCCGGGCCACCCAGGAGGCCCTGGCCACGATCGCCCCACAGCCCTCGACTGGCTGTGCTTCGCTGATCTTGGCTGGTGCCGAGTCTGCCTTACCAGGGCCGCCTGGACCCTGCCTCCTGGCAGCTGGGTGGGGGCCTGGTAAGGCAGGGAGGGTCCTGCACCCAGGACGCAGCTGCCACGTTCTCCTGGTGTCCTAGGCCTGGAGAGGAATCACCAAGAAAGCCCAGGCTAAGAAGCCATCCTCCCTCCTCCTAGGCCCTCTGCGTCTAGACAAGGAACCCAGGTGGTCCAGATCCGAGCCTCCCTCCCATCAGCATGTCTTGGCCTCACCTGGTCAGCCTCCTAGGCCTCCTGTTCTCCAGCTGCTCTCTCATCTCCCCTTCTTCAGACGGAGCTGCTCGCTCCATGGGCCTGGGCAGCAGCTTAAAGTGGGCGTAGGCCAAGCCCCCTGAGAGTGAGGGGTGCAGCTGCTCCCCAGGCACAGAGCCAGAGGTCCTGGGCCATGACGGGCAGAACGTGGCCAGAAGCGAGGGGCAGGGACGGCTGGGAGCCCATCCCAGGCAGCCTGGGGCTTCTCTCCTCCCCATGCGGGCAGGCCCAGGGCTGGGCGAGCAGGCGGAAGTCTGGGTGCAGAGGATTTCACAGCTGCAGGCCAGCCTCACGGACACCCGTCCACAGCCTCCAGGGATCCTGAGGCTTCGCCAGGAATCTTCTAGAAGCATGGAGAGGGCTGGACCTGAGCCAGCTGGAGGACGTGTAATACACACACACACTCATGCATATCTGTGCTAAAACCATGCACCCCACATAAACCCGCACACTCATACACATGGAAACACACACACACTTACACACATGCACATACTCATACACACACATGCACACACACACAGGGATGCACACACACAGGCACACTCACAGGCATGCACACACACACAGGCATGCACACACACAGGCATGCACACCCCCACACAGGGATGCACACACACAGGCATGCACACACACACAGACATGCACACACACAGGCATGCACACCCCCACACAGGGATGCACACACACACACAGGGATGCACACACACAGGCATGCACACACACACAGACATGCACACACACACAGACATGCACACACACAGCCACACCCACACAGGCATGCATGCACATGCCCGCACGCCCCCATTCACAGTGCTCCCGTGTGTTCCCACACCCCCACAATCACCACCCCCCATGACAATCCCACAGCAAGGCAAGCTTCCTGGAGGAGAGGCTGCAGGCGGACCTTGACCTCTGCAGCCTCTTCAGCCCTGGCACGCGTCTGCTGCCTGGGCTGAAACAGGCGTTGCTTGCCGGAGCCCCGAGGCTCAGCAGTGGGTAGCTGGGGCCTGGGGGCTGGGCCCTGCCATGGGAATGCTGCTCCCCACCCTCTGAGAATCCCAGCAGGTGATGGCCCCTCTCCCAGCACAGGGGACCCCTCCTGCTACCTGAGGCTTGTATCTGATGAAAATGGGTTTATATGATTAAAATGGGATTAAAATGAGCCCATCCAGAAGATCTTCCCGTGTGGACTCCACAGTGTTGTCTGAAAACTCCCTTCGAGGGCTGGAGCCTGGGCCTGGGGGGGCCACCATGGAGCAGGAGGGTCCCCCGGTCCTGGCTCCCAGCGCCTCTCACGCCCCTCCCTCTGGCTGATGCTTTTGCCCCCGTGGTGGGGGTATGAGTGCCCGTCCCATCTCATTCCCGGTGGCAGGAGAGGCTTTGGGAGTGCTGGTCACTGGCCCTTTCTCCACCGAAGCCCAGCTGCTACCTTGGCCTCCGGGGCAGTGGCCATGAAGACGGGTGGTATGGTGACACCCCGGGGGCTGTGGGCATTTGGGGCCAGGGCCTTCTGCGGTGGGGTGGGGCCGTCCTATGCACCGTGGACGTTTCACAGACCGCAGCCCCGGCCCCTTCCCACTGGATGCAGGTGGTGCCCCTTATCCCTGACAACCACGACTGTCCCTTAGGGAGCAGTCACTGGGGCTGGGGGTGGCCTGTGTCCTCCTGGTCACCCAGTCAAAGCTTGGCCTTGAGCCATTGCCCCCACCCCGGCAGGAGGAAGGTCTGACCGAGCCCCACCTACTTCCTTTGCAAGGAAGATAAAGGAGCTCCAGGTGGGTCCATGAGGGCAGCTGTGGCCACCGACCACAGTGAGGACACTGACCACCCAGGGTCCTCCAGACCCAGGTCCTGCCCGGCTCTTCTCACCCAGCCTTCTCCTCCCTGCGCAGATGCTGTGGCTGCTGTTCCTGACCTTCCCTTGCCTGGGGGGCTCCGTGCCTGACACCCCAGGTGAGTCCTGGCCCCATCCACACTGGACCCTAGGGGACTAGGACAGAGAGCTGACCCCTCATGGAGCAGGGCCCGGAAGCTCCTGGAATTGCAGGAGGGCGGGGCCGGGCTCCCTGACCTCCTCCTGTTGCTCCCAGCAGCTGTCCCCGAGAATGACCTGGTGGGCATCGTGGGGGGCCACAACGCCCCCCAGGGGAAGTGGCCGTGGCAGGTCAGCCTGAGGATCTACAGCTACCACTGGGCGTCCTGGGTGCACATCTGCGGGGGCTCCCTCATCCATCCCCAGTGGGTGCTGACCGCCGCCCACTGCATCTTCCGGTGAGTCCTGGGTGGGGACCCCAGTGAGGGGAGGGTGGGAGTGGGGCGGCCACAGGCCAGGCCCCCTGAGAAGCCCGGGTCCGTCCTCCCCAGGAAGGACACTGACCCGTCCACCTACTGGATCCATGCCGGGGACGTGTATCTCTACGGTGGCCGGGCGCTGCTGAACGTCAGCCGGGTCATCGTCCACCCAGACTACGTTGCGGCCCACCTGGGATTCGACCTGGCCTTGCTGAGGCTGGCCACCCCCGTGGAGGCAGCAAGCAGCGTTCGGCCGGTCACCCTGCCGCCCGAGGCCCTGAACTTCACCCCGGAGGACAAGTGCTGGCTGAGTGGCTGGGGCAGGACATCCTACCTCGGTGAGAGTGATGGCGGGTGGGGGGGGAGGGGGAGGGTGGCGGAGAGGCGTGGGGAAGTTTCCAGAATTTCCCCTCCATGCCCATTTATGGAGGCAGGTCCCTTGGGGGCTGACATTCACAAGCTCAGAAATAAATGGGACGGGGAAGGAAGTGGGTTCCAGCTGTCCCCCAACTCCGCTCGGCCTCTCAGCCCCCCGCATCCACGCTGATGCGCTGATACTCATTTTGCATGAAGGACGATGGGGGGCGTTTCCCAGCTCTCTTGGTCTGCCGTCAGCTGTGGCGGAACCTGCCCAGGATCCCCAGGCCCACAGCCTGCTGCCCTCACACTCTGTTCTGTGTGGATTTTGGGGGCATGGAGGGGGTGGGAGGGCGAATCCGGTTACGTTTTTCAATGGAAGTCATGCTTCTTGATATGTTCTGGGGACCTTTGGGCTGCTGGCCCCCAGCCCCCGCCCCTGTGTCTGTGTCCTGGGGCTGCCGTGACAAGGCCCACACCCTGGGGGCTTCACGCCATGGAGATGTGTTCTCCCAAAGTCCAGGTGGGGGCAGAGCCCTGCTCCCTCTCAGGCTCTAGGGGAGGGTCCCTCCTGGTCTCTCCCAGCCTCTGGTGGCCCTGATGTCCCGGGGCTCACGGTCGCATGCCCACCATCTCTGCCTCAGTCTTCATGTCACCTTCTCCCCCGAGCCTGGGTCCACTCCTGTACTGCCTCTCATGAGGACACCTGTCTTGGACTGAGGGCCCTTCCCATCCCCATCCCAGCATGGCCTCATCCCACCTTAATCGGTCTGCCAAGATTTGATTTCCAAGTAAGATCCCATCCCAGAGCTTTGGAGAGACATGTATGCCCGGCCCCGGTCTGTGGGGGTCTGTCTGTGGAATCTGAGCCTGTCTATCACGGAAGGAGGGCTCTGCTGAGATGGGCTGAGGACACACCCCCACCAAGGACAGATGGGGACGCTGAGGCCCAGGCTGGCTCCAGGTCGGAGCGGTGAGAGCAGGACCAGAGCCCAGGGCCCATGCGTCGCAGGCGGTGTGGACCCTCCCCATGGCTGCCTTGGCTGTGGCAGGTGTGAGCAAACTCACCGTGTCAGGGACACAGCCCCCTGCTGCTTCCTGACCCCTCTCTTCCTCCCCCAGCGCCACTACACCCACCCTACCGCCTACAGCAGGTGCAAATCCCGCTGGAGGACCGCGAGGCCTGTGAGGAGGGCTACAAGAAGTACCTGCATGCCAGCGCCAACGAGAAGGTCATCCCGGAGGACATGCTGTGTGCCGGCACCCTGGGCCGGGGGCCCTGCATGGTGAGACCCTCAGGCTCCGCCTTGCCCCAGGGGGCTCCCCCTAGCCTGGGCCTCTCGAGGCTGGACAGGGAGTCCCATTGTACGAAGGCCCCTGGTGAGACGTGTGACTGTGTCCTCTCTCTGAAGGGGGACTCCGGAGGGCCCCTGGTCTGCAGGAAGGGAGGCTCCTGGGTCCAGGTTGGCGTGGTCAGCTGGGGTATCGGCTGCTCCATGATCGAGCTGCCGGCCGTCTTCACGAGCGTCCGGAGCCACGTCGCCTGGATCCGCCGGCAGATCAGGAAGTGTGGGTAAGCCCTGGGGGAGCGCCAGAATCAGCGGAGGAGGCAGCAGCTTCGTCCCAACCTTCCCTGGCACGGCTTTCTGATCCCCTCCACCTATACCTCCCGCCCACTTCCCTGAGCTTCAGCCTGCTCCCATGCCCGTCTTCCTCCCCTCTCCTTCTCTGCGGGTCCCAAGGAGGGTGGTGGCCTCGGTGGTGCTGGGGTGCCGTCCGGCTGCGATTGTCTCATTAAACTGCGTACACAGGCTGGTGGTCAGAGTGGTCTTTGTGGCTGCAGAGTGGGTGGCCCACCTCTCCCTTTTGGGAAACCTGAGTGCTGGGGGAAATGAACGGGGCTGGCCTGGGCTGGGGCAGGTGGAGTTTGGGTGGGTGAGAGGTTCAGAGACTCCTCCCCAACCTCAGGGCCATCACTCCTTATTGTGGTACAGAGTCTGGCTCTGTCACCCAGGCTGGAGTGCAGTGGCACAGTCTCAGCTCACCACACCTCCACCCTCTGAGTTCAAGTGATTCTCCTGCCTTAGCCTCCGGAGGAGCTGAGATTACAGGTGCCTGGCACCACGCCCAGCTGATCTTTGTATTTTTAGTAGAGACGGGGTTTTGCCGTGTTGGACACGCTGGTCTTGAACTCCTGACCTCAGGTGATCCACCTGCCTCGGCCTCCCAAAGTGCTGGGATGACAGGCGTGAGCCACCGTGCCCCAACCCTATTGTGTTTTATGTGCAGCGTGCCCCATTACCAAGTGAGGGTGTTGGCAGATTCACACACAATTCAGTCATTTTCAGGCTCTCATTCATTCATTCATTCATTGATTCATGCCATTCCTTTATTCATTGGTTCTACTGAAGCCACTAAGGTGGCGTGTCCTGGGCTATCGGGTAATAAACTTGTTCTACCTGATTTCAGGGCCTGGAGGGTGGTGAGTGTGTGACAGGGATTTGAAATGCAGCCGGGAGGCCAAGGCGGGTGGATCAGGAGGTCGGGAGTTCGAGATCTCCCGACCGAGATCTGGCCAAGATGGTGAAACCCCGTCTCTACTAAAAATACAGGAATTAGACAGATGCAGTGGTGGGCCCCTGTAATCCCAACTATTTGGGAAGCTGAGGTGGGAGAACTGCTTGAATCCAGGAGGCAGAGGTTGCAATGAGCCGAGATCATGCCACTGCACTCTAGTCTGGCAACAGAGCAAGACTCTGTCTCAAAAAAATTTAAGAAATGCAGTGGGAGGTGGTGTCATAGACGGAAGAGTCCTCAAAAGAAGCAGAGGCGGCTCCCCTGGGTGTCAGTGAGGTTTAGCCCTAAGGGAAGCCTGAGTGGTTCCCGGAGGCATCCGGTGTGGCTGGGTTGAAAGATGAGCCTGCAGGCAGGACAGAGGGCGGGGGCCTGACAGGAGGAAAGGGAGGGGGCCACCTGTGCTCGAGGGACAGGCCAGACACCCTGGGCTCTCACTGCATCTTTGGAACCTGTATAGCAAACTTGCATTGCCCACAGAAAATGAATAAGAAAGCTATTTTCATAGTGAGGAAAGAATGTTAATGATATGATTCTTCTGTTGGCCCGTTAATCCTTCTAAGTCACAGGCCCCAGCCTCGTCCCAGGGAACTGAGGTAGGAGGGGGCTGAGCAAGGCTTCCTGTACACATTGGAGAAATCCTCCCCCAGCGCTGACCACACCTCTCCCTTCAGCTCAGCCCCGAGAAGCACGGCTGAGAAGGGCTGGGGTGGCCTGACTCCTCACCCTCTTCCAGACAACGTGCACACCCTGGGGGGTGTCTGTGGTTCCTGGGGAGGTGGAATATGTGGGAGCTGTTCCTTCCCAGACGCCCTGGCCGCCCAGGGCCAGAGGAGCGAGGCTGCCTGGGGTCCAGTGTCCGGCCATCCCCCGTCTCCTGCAGCCACACTTCCCAGAGCTAACCCTAACCCTAACCCTAACCCTCACGCTTATAATCCTAGCACTTTGGGAGGCCGAGGCGGGTGGATCACTTGAGGTCAGGCATTCAAGACCAGCCTGGCCAACACAGAAAAACCCCATCTCTACTAAAAAAAAGAAAAAAAATTAGCTGGGCCTGGTGGCTTGAGCTTGTGATCCCAGCTGTTCGAGAGGCTGAGGCAGAAGAATCACTTGAATCCAGGAGATGGAGGTTGCAGTGAGCTGAGGTCATGCTTCTACACTCTACTCTTTGTGACAGAACGAGACTCTGTCTCCAAAAAAAAGAATGGATGGATAGGTGGGTGAGTGAATGAATGAGTGGATGAGTAGGTAAGTGAGTGAGTGAATTGGAGAGTGAGTGAATGGATGAGTGGGTAGATGGGTGAGTGGGTGTGTGGATTGGAGGATGGGTGAATGGATGGATGGATGGGTGAGTTGGTGGATGGATGGGTGAGTGGATGGCTGGATGGGTGAGTGAATGGATGGGTGCATGGTTGAGTGGATAAATGGATGGGTGAGTGAATGGATGGATGGGTGGATGGATGCGTGAGTAGATGGATGGATGGGTGAGTGGATGGGAGGATGGGTGAATGGATGGGTGAGCTGGATGAATGGGTGAGTGGCTAGATGGGTGAGTAGATGGCTGGATGGGTGAGTGGATGGATGGCTGCTGGTTGAGTGGATGGGAGGATGGGTGAATGGATGGGTGAGTTGAATGGATGGGTGCAGTTGAGCAGATGTATGGATGGGCGGATAGGTAAGTGGATGGGTGGATGGGTGGATGGATGGGTGAGTGGATAGATGGGTGAGTAGATGGCTGGATGGGTGAGTGGATGGATGGCTGGTGGTTGAGTGGATGGGAGGATGGATGAATGGATGGGTGAGTTGAATGGATGGGTGCAGTTGAGCAGATGTATGGATGGGCGGATAGGTAAGTGGATGGATGGATGGGTGGATGGATGGGTGAGTGGATGGATGGATGGATGGGTGAGTGGATGGATGGGTGCATGGTTGAGTGGATAAATGGATGGATGGATGGGTGGATGGATGCGTGAGTGGATGGATGGATGGGTGAGTGAATGGGAGGATGGGTGAATGGATGGGTGAGTTGAATGGATGGGTGCAGTTGAGCAGATGTATGAATGGGCGGATAGGTAAGTGGATGGATGGATGGGTGAGTGGATGGATGGATGGATGGATGGATGGGTGAGTGGATGGGAGGATGGGTGAATGGATGGGTGAGTTGAATGGATGGGTGCAGTTGAGCAGATGTATGAATGGGCGGATAGGTAAGTGGATGGATGGATAGGTGAGTGGATGGATGGGTGCATGGTTGAGTGGATAAATGGATGGGTGAGTGGATGGATGGATGGGTGAATGGATGGGTGAGTTGGATGGATGGGTGCAGTTGCACAGATGTATGGATGGGCGGATAGGTAAGTGGATGGATGGATGGGTGAGTGGATGGGAGGATGGGTGAATGAATGGGTGAGTTGGATGGATGGGTGCAGTTGCACAGATGTATGGATGGGTGGATAGGTAAGTGGATGGATGGATGGGTGGATGGATGGGTGAGTGGATGGATGGGTGCATGGTTGAGTGGATAAATGCATGAGTGAGTGGAAGGATGGATGCATGGATGGATGGGTGAGTTGGTGGATGGATGGATGAGTGGATGGCTGGATGGGTGAGTGGATGGATGGATGGATAGGTGAGTGGATGGATGGGAGGGTGGGTGAGCAGATGGATCCCAGTGGCTCCAGAGTCTCAGCTTGGGTTTCATTTTAGACTCAGACCCACCTGACTGAGCACTGTGCATTGTGTGTGATTCACTGGGAGAAACACACATCTTCTGTACACGCAAGAACATTCATATCATTATGATTTATAACAGCAAATTATTGGAAACTGTCTAACTGTCCATGAAGAGCTGGTGGAATAAGTTTCCCTAAATCCATACAGCTGGCTGCAGTGCGCCATTAAGCCTGACGTCTCTGCCTGCGTGTGGGTGGCAGTCCCGTCACCGTGCAGCTCCCTCTCGTGAACACACGTGTGGCATCAGGGGAGGTGGTGCTGGGTGGCGAGAAGGGTGACTGCAGGGTCTAGAATTGCGCAGAATTTCTACTTTAAACATTTATGTTTGGCCTAGGTCTTTTACCTTAAAACCCATTTCATGGCTGGGCGAGGTGACTCATGCCTGTAATCCCAGCACTTTGGGAGAGAGAGATGGGTGGATCATGAGGTCAGGAGATCGAGACTATCCTGGCCAACGTGGTGAAACCCTGTCTGCATACAAAAACACAAAGAATTAGCCGGGCGCAGTGGCTCGTGCCTGTAGTCCCAGCGACTCTGGAGGCTGAGGCAGGAGAGTCACTTGAACCCAGGGGGCGGAGGTTGCAGTGAGCGGAGATCAAGCCGCTGTGCTCCAGCCTGAGTGACAGAGTGAGACTCTGTCTCAAAAAATAAAACCAAAACTATGTCACATTGAAAGAAGATGACTCTTTTTTTCTGGTTTTTCCAGTCACATCAATGCAGATTTTATGGTCATGGCAAACTCCATGGCTCCATTAAAACGCCCTCAAGAAATAGTGTCCCAACCCAGGAAGTACAGCTCAGTGGCCTGGTTACCAAGGACAACCCTGTGTGAGCGGCAGAGACCCAGCGTGCAGGGTGCCGGGGAAGAGCAGTGGACTCCAACCTGTGCGCAGGAAGCGTCTTCACAGGACCCCGGAAGCAGGCGGGCAGGACTCTCCAGGTCTGTGAAAGCTGAGCCCACACCAGGGAAGCCGGTACTGATGGGTCACAGGGTTCCCTTTGCACACACATGCTGGGTGACCTTGGGGACATGGAAACATTGTGGTCACGCACCCTTCGTCTCCCGGGTCCCAGTGACCTCAGGCTCTGCGTACCGTATGCTGAGACCCCCGTGCCCCTGAGCCGGGACCCTCTGCGTGGCCTTTCCTCCAGCCCAGCCCTTTTGCAACCCTGGCCCGAGGCAGCCACATCCTTCACACCGCGGTGACCCTGGGTGGGGGTGCCCTGGCCGCAGGCCTCAACTTGACCCTATCCTTGGTCAGGGCCTCTGACCCCTGTCTTAACGGTTGCACGGCCCCCAGTTCTTTCTCTGATCCTATCGCCAAACGCTCTCATGGTGGTCTGGCCCTGACTCTATCAGGACAAACAGGTATCCTGTCCCCAGGCACCGTGGGCTAACAGCCTGTGGCTGATGGTCTCAGGTTGATCCCTCCTAGATAAGGGACCTGGGCCTCCGTGGTCAGCCCCGAGAGCAGGATGCAGGGTGTTTCAGGAGCTGGCCCTCATCCCGCCCCTGTGTCCCCCGCTGTGCCATGGTGGCCATCCCAGCAGTGAGCCCCAGGCCGAGGTGGGGACGTGGGGTGTGAGAACACGCAGCCCTGCCTCCTCCGTTTCCCTTCTCACCCAAGGGCCGCTGCCCGCTGGCACTGACGGACGAGGCTGGCACGTCTTTCTCTCCCTTCGGGCCTCCCCTGGGCTGTTTCTCCAGAGCCTTCGGACTCTTCCCAGCCCTGGAAACATGTTCTCTGATTGGCCATGGAGCTGGGCCATGCCTGGGGTGTCCCAAAGCCTCCTGGGCCCAGACTCCCAGTCCTGAATCCCAGCAGCTCCCTGCCACTCCGCCCACCCACACCCTGCCCTGCTCAGCGTGGGCTGCCCCAGAACCAAGCACCCAGCCTGCCCCACGCCCCGCCCTGGGTCCTCTGGCTCACCCTGTCAGGCCCCCTGGACAGGCAGGACTGAGGACATACCGGATAGCCTGGCTTGGGGCCTCCAAAGCAGAGCTCAGGGCCCACCCCTAACTCCCTGGCTGGAGGTGGCTCCAGGCCTGGGTGTGCTGTCTCCCCAGCCACCTCCCTTGTGGTTCCCGAGGCATGGCCAGCCCTGAGGGCTCGGTAACTGTCACCAGTGGCATCACCGGCCACCCAGAGGCCACTGAGCCCGGAGCTCAGCAGGCGGGGACCAGGCCAGGGCTCAGAGTGGCTTTCCCGAGTCACCACGGAGAAGCTTGTTTCTGGTGGATGAGGAGGGGTCTGAGGGTGGGGCTGGTGATGACCCGGGGGGCTCCAGCCAGGAGGAGGAGGAGGCTCGACTGCCTCTCACTGAGCCGCTCGGAGTTGGGGCAGATTCTGTTATGCAGCCCTGGGTGGAGGCAGGGGAGGAGGACCCTCCAGCCCCCGCGTAGTGAACTGCACCTGCTGGGATGTCCCAACCGGCCAGGGTCACAGGCATTTCTCTGTGAGGAAGAGAACCGTCTGCTCTGGCCACTCGCAGAGGATCTGACCCAGGGCTGGGCCACTGCGTAGACCTGGGAGGAGAGAGCCTGGGGTCGGCTCCCCTGGGCCCTGTCTCCGCCCCTGCAGTGAGGATTTGGCCTCGGGTCATCGGCCCAGGCCTTGGTGAAGCCCCACTGCCTTCGGTGAGGACGTGGGGACATCCCACCAGAGAGGGCGGGCCGCTGTGCACTGATCAGCGCATGTGGGGTGGCTGTGGAAGCTGGGAGCCCACCGTGCGGCCCCGGGGGAGGTGCCTGCCCATGTCGTCAGCATTGCCACCACCTGCCCTGGGCATCGAGAAACGCTTGGTCACCTGGCTCCGAGCATCACCAAGGCGGTTCGAGGTGGGGACGCCATCCCACTGCCTCCCTGGGGCGCGGGAACCTGCCAGGTGAGGTGGCGCTTCTGCAGTGAGGCTGCGCACCCTCCTCCCCTAACCCTGGCGGCTCTCCTCTGCTGGTGATGCCAGTGGGGACAGTGACGCAGTGGCTCAGGGCAGCTGCACCTCTGGAGCCTGGACCAAGGACCCACACCCCTGGTCGCTGGCCATCGCCCTTCTCAACCTGAACAAGGGGCCGCTTCCTCCCCGCCCCTTCTCCAAGGAGAGGACTGACTGGCACCTGCCCACTTCCTGTGGCTGAGAATAAAGGAGCTCCGAGGGGCTGGGGAGAGAGCTGCAGAGTCCTGGCATGGTAAGGGTGCTGTCCCCTCCCTGATGCCTGTGGGTGGCTCCCCGACCCCACCGCTGACCCCGGGTCTGAGCCCCCAGCCTGCACTCCACGTTGCCTCCCTGCAGATGCTGCTGCTGCTGCTCCTGGCCGTCTTCTCCCTGGGGAGCTGCAGCTCCGGGAGCCCCAGTGAGTCCCAGCCCACACAGCCCTCCCTTCCCAGAGGCTCTGCCAGCCCTGACCCAGGATCCAGGGGACGTGTGTAGTCCGGCTCCAGCCCGAGGGTGGGCATGGGCTGAGGCTCGGGTGTCTGAGGCCGGGCTCCCTGACCTCCTCCTGTTGCTCCAGCACCTGTCCCCGAGAATGACCTGCTGGGCATTGTGGGGGGCCACAACGCCCCCCAGGGGAAGTGGCCATGGCAGGTCAGCCTGAGGATCTACAGCTACCACTGGGCGTCCTGGGTGCACATCTGCGGGGGCTCCCTCATCCACCCCCAGTGGGTGCTGACCGCCGCCCACTGCATCTTCGGGTGAGTCCCAGGCGGGGACCCCAGTGAGGGGAGGGTGGGAGTGGGGCTGCCCCAGGTCAGGCCCCCTGAGAAGCCTGGGTCCATCCTCCCCAGGAAGGACACTGACCCGTCCACCTACCGGATCCACGCTGGGGACGTGTATCTCTACGGTGGCCGGGAGCTGCTGAGTGTCAGCCGGGTCATCATCCACCCTGACTACGTGACGGTGGGGCTGGGGGCGGATGTGGCCCTACTCCAGCTGGCGAGCCCGGTGATCTGTGCTGCTAATGTCAAGACGGTCAAGCTCTCCCCCACCTCCCTGAAGCTCACCCCGAAGGACCGGTGCTGGGTGACCGGCTGGGGAGCGGTTGGGATGTTCGGTGCGTGTTGGGTTGGGGCTGGAGAAGGACTCGGGTCATCCCAGGGTTCCTGGGGGGTGAGTTCCAGCAAGGGAAGAGATGGCACTGCTCACAGCCTCAAAGCACCTCCAGCTCCTTTTCCCAACAGCTCTGTGCTGCCCAAGGCTGGGAGAGTGAGGGGTCCTGTGACTGTCAATGATAGAACCGAGCGCAGACTTGACAGGCAGAGGGGAAAATACTTCTCATCGTTTTCTACTTAAGAAAAGGCTTTTGGCCAGGCACAGTGGCTCCCGCCTATAATCCCAGCACTTTGGGAGGCCGAAGTGGGTGGGTCACCTGAGGTCAAGAGTTTGAGACCAGCCTGGCCAACATGGTGAAACCCCACCTCTACTGAAAATACAAAAGATTAGCTGGTGTGGTGGTGTGCATCTGTAATCTCAGCTGCTGGGGAGGCTGAGGCAAGAGAATTGGTTGAACCTGGGAGTCCGAGGTTGTGGTGAGCTGAGATCGTGCGCTTACATTCCAGCCTGGGCAACAAGAGTAAAACTCCGTCTCATAAAATACATTTAAATAAATTGAAAAAAACTTTTTTTTTTTGGCTGGGTGTAGGTGTAGAGGCTCACACCTGTAATCCCAGCACTTTGGGAGGCACAGGCAGGAGGATTGCTGGAGCCTGAGAGTTTGAGACCAGCCTGGGCAACACAGCAAGAAATCTTAAAAAAGAAAAACCCATCAAAACCAAAAACACCTCAAAACCAAAAGGCATTTTTGGAGGAGAAAAAAAAAATAGAAAAACTCATCCCTCCACTTTTCTCTGGGAGGTCTGCCTCTGAGCCCTAGGTGTTTAGAGGGAGACATGCCCCCTCCACGGGGTCCCACACACCGTGCTCAGGCCGCCAGGCCACGGCGCAGGGACCAGGGGCCCTTGACAGCAGGGCGGCCGCCTCCTCTCCGACCCAGGGTCTCGACCGTCCCAGTAGGGGAGGCACTGGGCCCGCTGGGCCGCTGGCAGGGCCGTGTCCGCTGTGCCAGCCCGGGTTCCTCTGTCCCTAGAGTCGCTGCCGCCGCCGTTCCGCCTGCAGCAGGTGAGCGTCCAGGTGGTGGAGAACGCCGTCTGCGAGCAGCAGTACCGCAACGCCTCCCGGCACGTGGGCGACAGGCGGATCATCCTGGACGACATGCTGTGCGCGGGCAGCGAGGGCCGAGACTCCTGCTATGTGAGCGCCGCTGCCCCTTCCCCGCCCCGCCCCTCCCCGCCCCTCCCGGCCCTCACCCCGCCCCACCTTCGCCCCGCCCCCACCGTGCCCTGCCCCGCCCCCGCCCCCCACCCTCACTCCGCCCCCACCCTGCCCACACCTCCTCACCCTGCCCTGCCCCGCCACGCCCTCTCCACACCCTCCCCACCCCCGCCACGCCCCCGCCACGCCCTCACCCCCCGCTCGCCCCGCCCCGCCCTGGAGCTCAGCGGTGGCCCCTTTCCTTCCCCTCCTCAGGGTGACTCCGGCGGCCCCCTGGTCTGCAGGGTGCGGGGGTCCTGGCGCCTGGTGGGGGTGGTCAGCTGGGGCTACGGCTGTGCCCTGCGGGACCTCCCCGGCGTCTACGCCCGCGTGCAGACCTACGTGCCCTGGATCCTGCAGCAGGTCGGGGAGGGGCGCTGAGCGGCCGGGCCGGGCTCCGGGCGAGGCGGGGGGTGCCGAGGAGGGCCGGGACCGTCCCCCTCCCGGCGGTCTTCGCTGCTGCCTCCGCCGCAGGCCGCGGTCTCGAGCCCGGTTCTCGGCTCCTCCGCGCCCGGACCGCCCTGATACCGGGACAGGTGCCGGCGAGGAGGGGCGGGGGCCTCGCAGGTCTCTGTCTGATTAAAGAGCTTAGGAACAGCGCAGTGTGTTTTGTAGCGTCTTTGTGGGGAACACAACAGGAAATGTCTTAAAAAACCCATCACAACAAAAACACCTAAAACCAAAAGGCATTTTTTGGAGGGGAAAAAAGAGAAAAACAGAAAAAGGGAGGGATTTGCGCCCCAAACCCTGGCTGGACGTGCTGCTCTCAGCCACCCGTCGGAAGCCACCTAGGCCGCCTCCGTTTTTGGGCTCCGGTAATAAAGATGCTAAGAACAGCCCCCCAACCCCCCTCCCCCCGCCTCTCGGGGAGACACCCACGGGTGCTGCTTCAGAGCCAGCTTCTGGGTGAGAAAACCCAGGCAGGTGACTCATTGGAGGTGCAGGTGTGGTGGGTGGGCTTCGGGGGACCAGGCCCGAGCGCTGCCCCCCCCCCCCCCCGCCGCTCCTGTGAGGAGGCCTCCGTGTCCCCGGGCCTGGTCTCCCTGGGCCATGGTGAGGTTTAGGCTCCTGCCCCGACTCCCTCCTGTACAGGGTCCCAGAGCTCGGACACCGCCTCGCAGCTCTGAGCTGTGGCTGCCCCAGGTGCCGGGGTGCAGGAGGCCAAGTCTGTGCCCGGGCGGGGGGGCGGGGGCGTGCACATCCTGGTGGATGGTCAGGCAACTCCCCCGTGCCTCAGTTTCCCCACATCGAAGAGGGGATCCCTGGCCTAGAGGGTCTAAGAACCAGACCCTCCAGCCTGGCCTGTGAACTGGCTCTAGGGAGGAGGGCAGGGATGTCCCGAGCACTGCCCAGGGCCCCTACTCAGCTGAGTCATCAGGCCAGGGCAGCCAGGACGGTTAGGAAGGCTCTGCCCGGGCTGGGCCGGGAGACGGTGCCCATCTGATCTGCGGTGCCAGCAGGGCACCTGTTGCCGGCTGTGGGGACACGGACTTCTCAGAGAGCGGTTGTCACGGGGGCCTGAGTTGTCGCCACAGGGCTGCTGCACTGGGAAGTATTTCTGTGTTCCTTTCTTTCTTTAAAATACACTTATTATTTTAGAACAGGCTTTGACGTATGGAAAACTTTCGAAGAAGTCTGGAGCCATCCATGCACCCCGGGCCTGTGTCCCGTTCCTCCTCGGGAGAGGCTCACCCGCCCTAATGGATGAGCCAGCAGGTTCCCGAGGTTAGCAAGCCCCTAGCTGGCTCGGATTCCCCAACTCTCCCTCAGCTCCCTGTCCTGTGACAGGACCTCACCCCGGATCCCACGTCACCTTCCATCCTCACTCTCCTTCAGCTCCTCTTGGCTGTGACACTTTCTCCCACTTCCCTTTCCCTTGATGACCTCGACGGTTCTGAGGAGGGCTGGCCATCGAGTCTGGAAAGCGTCAATCAATTGGGATTTACCTGGCATTTTTCTCGTGCTTACCTGAGGTCACGGGTTTCGGGAGGAAGAGCACAGAGGTGAAGTGCCTTCTCACCTGTGGCAGGTGGCGGGGTCACGTGCTGTCAACCTGACTTAACACCAGCTCAGGCACAGCTGGCTTCTCACCACGCAGCCCCTCCCTGCTGGCCTCAGAGCCCTAGTATTGGAAGGAAGTCCCTCTAAGCAGCCAGGTGGGGATGGGGGTTCCGCTGTGCCCCGCCCCATGAGAGGAGAGGGCTGCGGACGTTATTTGGAATTCTCCTTGGAGATTTGTCTATTCCCCCCCACTTATTTACTTATTCAATTATTTATTTATATCAGCATCAACTCCTGGATATTTCTTTTTCATTTATCTTATTTTATTTACTTGTTTTTTGAGTTGGAGTTGGAGGCAGAGGACGCAGTGAGCTGAGACTGCACCAGCCTGGGTGAGAGAGCAAGGCTGGGTCTCAAAAAAAAAAAAAATGCCAGGCTCGGTGGCTCACGCCTGTAATCCCAGCACTATGGGAGGCCGAGGTGGGTGGATCACGAGGTCAAGAGATTGAGACCATCCTGGTCAACATGGTGAAACCCTGTCTCTACTAAAAATACAAAACATTAGCTGGGCATGGTGGCACGTGCCTGGAGTCCCAGCTACTCGGGAGGCTGAAGCAGGAGAATTGCCTGAACCCAGGAGGCGGAGGTTGCGGTGAAGCGAGATCGCACCATTGCACTCCAGCCTGGGTAACAAGAGCAAAACTCCGTCTCAAAAAAAAAAAAAAAAAAAAAAAAAAAAATAGACTGCTAAAATCTAACAAAGCAATTAAGAAACAATTCCAACATAGCATGGAAAGAATAAACGACCTTGGAAAAAATCTGACTCCGGTGAAGGAGCTGTATGCTTTTTTTCAGACCGTATTTTTTGATTTTCTGTATTCTTGGTCCTCTGGCATTTGGGGTTTGGTCCTGGAGAGACTGCCCAGCCCAGGGGCTCCTCCCTAAAGACAGCAGTGATTTCCCCGCAGGTTTACCTCCGATAACAAACCAGCCATTCCAGAGCACAACCCAACCACCTCCTATCAGAGGCGCACACATGAAGCCACCACTCCTCTGACCTAAGTCACCCCAGGGCCAGGTATTAGACAGGAGTCTACCTTCCCTGCCTCTCCCATCCCTTCTGGGGAGAACCCTATGAAGGCTCTGAGCCCTGCTCCGCCCTCCCCCCTCCCACCTCCTGACCGATCTGGGCACCTTCCCACCTGGCCCGTGTGGTTTGCTGTGCCCCCTGCCTCCAGGGATTTGTGAGTCTAGACTCCTTCCCATGTGACAATAATTTCTGTCTCTGTGTCTTACCGTACTTGACTGAAACAAATCCCAGACACACATTTTAGAATACCTTTGCGACTAGGCATGGTGGCTCCCACCTGTGATCCCAGCACTTTGGGAGGCTGAGGTGGGATCACTTGAGGTCAGGAGTTTGAGACCAGCCTGCACAACATGGTGAAACTCCCGTCTCTACTAAAAATACAAAAACAGTAGCCGGGCATGGTGGCGCGCACCTGTAATCCCAGCTACTTTGGAGGCTGAGGCAGGAGAATCACTTGAACCTGGGAGGCTGAGGTTGCATTGAGCTGAGATCATGCCACTGCACTCCAGCCTGGGCAACAGAGTGAGACCTTGTCTCAAAAAACAAACAAACAAAAAACATCTTTGAAAACTAGAAAATATTCTGTATCATGCTGAAATGAAAACAAGACATAACCCCAAATAAGTGGAAAGACACCGCATGTTGATGGGTGGAAAACTCGCCATCAATCAGACAGCAATCCCCAGTCTGGATCCAGTGTATTCTCCACTGATGCTACAATGAACTTTTTTTCTTTTTTTGTAGAAATGGAGACAGCAACCCTTAAATTCGTAGGGAATTGCAAGCTGCTCCAGAGAGTTGAAATAACATTGAAAAAGAAGAATAAAGCTGGAAGACCCAGACTTTCTGACTTCAAAGATTTCTACAAAGTGATAGTAATCAAAACAGCATGGTACTGGCAAAAAGTGAGACATATAGATCCATGGAATAGAATAGAATCCAGAAATAAACTCATACGTCACTGGCATTTTTGATTTTTGACAAGGGTGATGAGACTGTTCAATGGGAGAATTGAGAGTCTCTTCAACAGACGGTGCTGGGACAACTGGGTATCCCCATGAAGGAGAATGAAGTCAGATCCCTAACTCACACCATATACAAAAGTTAATCCAACATGTATCCGTGACCTGAATATGAGAGTAAAACCCACAAAACTCTTGGAAGAAAACAGAAGAGTAAGTCTTCATGACCTTGGATTTGACAATGGATTCTTAGATAAGACACCAAGAGCATGAGAACAACGGAAAAAAGAGATAAATTGAACATCATCAAAATTGTGCACATTAAAGGACATTTCCAAGAAAAGTGAAAAGACATTCTACAGAATGGGAGAAAACATTTACAAATTATACATGTGATAAGGGTCTATGACTCAGAATATACAGAGAAACTCTTTCAACCAGAACAAAGGACAAATAGCCCAATTTAAAAAATGGGCAAATGACTTCAATAGACATTTCTCCAAAGATATACACACAGCCAACAAGTCCATGGAAAGATGCTTGGCATTAAGAATCATGAGGAGAATTCGAGTTGCCACCACCTGAGATACCACGTCATGCCCTCAGGTTGGCTATGAATTAGAAAAGGAAAATTCTGGATCGGCACGGTGGCTCATGCCTGTGATCCCAGCACTTTGGGAGGCTGAGGCAGGTGGATCACTTAAGCTCAGGAGTTTGAGACAATCCTGGCTAACATGGTAAAAGCCCTGTCTCTACTAAAAATAAAAAATTAGCCAGGCATGGTGGCGGATGCCTGGAATCCCAGCTACTCAAGAGGCTGTGGCAGGAGAATGGCTGGAATCTGGGAGGCACAGGCTGGAGTGGGCTGAGATTGTGCCACTGCACTCCAGCCAGGGCAACAGAGCGAGACGCTGTTTCAAAAACAAAACAAAACAAAACAAAAACAAAAAACAAAAAAACAAAAACAAAGGAAAATTACCAAGTGCTGATGAGGATGCAGAGAAACAGGAAGCTTCACAGGTTGCCTGTGGAGGGCAGGCAGTCCTGCTGCAGGGGAAACAGTTTGGATTCCCCGACAGGGTAAGCAGGGCGGGCGCAGCGGCTCACGCCTGCAATGCCTGCATTTCGAGAGGCCACATTGGGAGGACTGCTTCAGCCTGTGGGTTTGAGACCATCTTGGGCATTGTGACAGGACCTCATCTCTACAAAAAATTAAAAAATTAGCCAGGCGTGGTGGCACGCACCTGTGGTCCCAGCTGCTCTGGAGGCTGAGGTGGGCGAATTGCTTGAGCCTGGGAGGTCAAGTTTGCAGTGAGTGAGAAGAAAGAAAGAAAAGAAAGAAGAAAGAGAAAGAAAGAAAGGAAAGGAAGGAAGGAAGGAAGAAGGAAAGAAGTAAAAGAAAGAAAAAGAAAGAAAGAAGGAGGGAGGGAAGGAAGGAAGGAAGGGCATTTTCCTGTAGTTCTGCCACACAGCAGCAAGCCCCAAGGAAGCCGAGGACAGCCCGCTCCCATGTAATTCTCAATCGCCAGCCCAAGTCCATCGACTCTCCAGTACCGTCCCTGAAGCAAAAGCGTCCCGCTGAGGATCGGGAGGCTTGCCGGGCTCTGGAAGGGTCCTGGGTCTTTCCTCGATGCCTCTGACCCTGAGAGCCTTGAAGATTTCGGGCCATCATTTTGTGGAGCGCCCCTCAAACCAGGCTGATATTTTTTCACCATTAGATTGAGGGGATGCCCTTTTGGCAGGAGCTCTGCCTCCTGCATCCACCTGCTGGGACGTCCACTCTCAACACTCGAGCAAGGGGCAGCTGGCCGGCTTCTCTACGGAAGCCACTCCTGCCCTTAGTGATGACTGCATGTTTCGTGGGGAGGTTCCTTGAGACCCTGTGACTAGCCGAGTTTGCATCAGACTCTTTTATTTATTTATTTGAGACAGAGTCTTACTCTGTCGCCCAGGCTGGAGTGCGATGGTGTGGTCTCAGCTCGCTGCAACCTCCACCTCCCGGGTTCAAGCGATTCTCCGTCCTCAGCCTCCTGAGCAGCTGGGATTACAGGCACCTGCCACCATGCCCAGCTAATTTTTGTATTTTTAGTAGAGATAGGGTTTCACCATGTTAGGCAGGCTGGTCTCAAACTCCTGCCCTCATGATCCACCTGCCTCAACCTCCCACAGTGCTGGAATTACAGGCGTGAGCCACCGCGCCCAGCCAGCATCAGACACTCTCTGTATTCATTTGCTTATTTATAACTGCATGGACTCATGGTCTCCTGTTTTATTCAATCATTTTCATTTTTTTTCTCCAGTCATTATGTAACATGCGAACTCACCCTGATGCGGAAACCGGGAGCGTCTGTGCCCTCTGCCTCGTCTCCGACTCTCAGCGTTCCCTCCCACAAGGTGACTCTGGGCTCCTCGTCTCTTCTCCTCTGCTCCAGGCGTTCCTCCGGGAAGTCCAGCTCCTGTCAGTGGCAAAGAGCATTTAGAGAACACCATCTAGGTGACGAGGTTGTCCCCTGCTCTTGGGTGTCAACGCTTACAGTGCTTCTCAGGGGACAGAGCTAGGGAATACATATATGTGTGCACATGCACACTCACACAAATGCACACACATGCACACGCAGGCAGGCACCACTTGACCCACGTACACTCATACATGCACTCACACACATGTGCACACACACCCCCATACATGCACACACACGTTCCCATGCACACACATGCACACATTCACACACAGGCACACTCACATGGTCACACACATTCACATCACACATGCACACACATACACATGCACACTCATGCACACACATATGCACACATGCATGCTCACATGTACACACATGCACATTCACACAGGCACACGCACATGCTCACACACATCGCACATGCACATACCTACACACATGCATACTCATGCTCACATGCATTCACACACATGCACACACATGCACAATGCTCATACACAGGCACATTTGCACATCCTCACAGGTGCACACACATTCACATACATGCACACACAGGCACAGACATGCTCACAGGCACACACATGCACACACACGTTTACACAAGCACGCATTAACTCATGCACACACACGAACATGCTCACATGTACACATGCTCACAGGCACACATACATGCACACACAGGCACACATGTTCACACATGCATTCACTCACATGCACACACATGAACATGCTCACACATGCATACACATTCACACCCATGCAAACGCACATGTTCATACATGCACACAAACATGCTCACACATGCACACATTCACACACATGCACAAATATGCATACACATGCACATTCACACATGCACACATGCTCACAGGCACATACACATGCACACACATGCATACAAATTCGCACTCCCATGCACACATGCATACTCACACATGCTCACACATACACACATGCTCACACATGCACACGCACATACATGCACATACATGCACACACATGCTCACACATATTCACACACATGCTCACACATGCACAATACACAGGCACACACATATGCACACACATGCTCACACGCACACACACATGCACATATGAACACTCAGACGCATACTCACGCATGCACACTGACACACACGCTCCCATGTGCACATCGACACGGTGATCTCTATGATGAGAACCGTCAGCTCCCACAGTGCCTGGACTGTGGTTCCGCTCCTGGGACTTAGTCTGCCTTCCCGCTCTCCCATCGCGCTGCCTTCTCCAGCAGTGGAAAGTGGGCTCCACCCCTAATTCACTGATTGATGTCATCAGCCCCCCATGTGCACCCCACTCTGGGCCATTGTGGCTGTGGCCCCCCAGGCCCACCCTGGGCTTTAGGACCAAATTTCTCAGAAGGAAAGGGAAGGGGCGGGGTGGAGATGGGGGCAGAGCTTGACTGTTTAAAAAGTTTCTGGCCAGGCCGGTTGCGGTGGCTCACGCCTGTAATCCCAGCACTTTGGGAGGCCGAGGTCAGGAGTTCAAGGCCAGACTGCCCAACATGGTGAAACCCCGTCTCTAATAAAAAATACAAAAATAAATAAATTAGCTGGGCACGGTGGCTCGTGCCTGTAATCTCAGCCACTGGGGAGGCTGAGGGAGGTAGAATTGCTTGAACCGGGACCAGGGAGGCGGAGGCTGCAGTGAGCGGAGATCTCGCCATTGCACTCCAGCCTGGGCTGAAGAGCGAGACTCCATCTCAAAAAAAAAAAAAAAAACAAAAAAACCACCCAGCTTCTGGCCGTTTCAGTGAGTGTGGTGGGCGCTCTGCAGTTCCCCAGTGACCAACGTGACGAGCCAGGCTGCGCACGGGGGTGGGGGTGTCGGAGCTCAGCTGCGCCCCCAGCCTCGTCTGCCCTCAGGGAGACTTGGGAGGGCCTCCGGTCTGCCACGATCATGCTTCCTGGGGGCAGCCTGGCGTCATGAGCAAGAGCTACAGCTGCCCCAACTGGCCAGGGGTCTGCACCGGCCATTCCCAGGACCAGGGTTTCAGGGGATTCACAGTGCAGATCCCCGCGCCTCCCCAGGTTCCCCTCCCGGCGGCGGGCTGCTTCCTCCTCCTCCAACCCGCCTTCCTCTAGTCTAGGCTGTCCTAAGCGGCCTCGGGGGCAGCTTCCGCCGACCTATGACCCTGGACCCCTGACCTGCATGAGCCCTTCCAGCTCCCTCCTCCCAGAAGAATGGAGGGCGATGGCCACAGCCTAGGCCTGGAGGGCGACCCCGCTCTAGGCCTGCACAGCCCTGGCTCGCACCCCAGTGCAGTCTCGGGGCAGTCCTGCCTCTTCTCCCCATGGGGAAACTGAGGCAGGGAGGGCGCAGTTACCTCCTACGGTCACACGCAGGGCCTATCCCAGCCCAGGAAGTTCCCGGGCTCTGAAACTGGACTCCGCGGCAGGTGGGGAGGGCGGGGCAGCCGGCTCCTCCCCGCCCCTCCCGCCCCTCCCGCCCCTGCCCCCTGCCCCGCCCCGCCCCGCCCCCTCCGCAAACACCCCGCTTCTCCCAGGCCGGCTCCGCTTTGCACGGTCGGGGCGCCCTCTGGTGGAGAAGCGGGGAAGTGCAGCAGTCCGCAGGGAGCGTGGCCTCGCGGGAGAGTCACGCCTGTGACCGCTGCGTGGAAAATCCAGAGGGTTCCGTGCGCCCTGGAGTAGTGGACTCAGCAAGGCGGCGAGATACAAAACCGGTACGCAGAAGTATCGTATTTCTAAATGCCAGCTATGCACAATTGGAAAATAAACGCGAACATCAATACCCTTTGCTGTAGAACAAAAAATCAAACACTAGGAATACATTTAACGGGAGGCCTGCAAGATCTTGACTCCGGGAGGTACAAACATGGGCGGGAGAGCATTTTAAAGCCCTGCGCAAGGGGAGAGACAGGAACGCGGACCAATGTCATCACCCTGGGGTGTGTCCGGCCAGGTGTGGTGGCTCACGCCTGTAATCCCAGCACTTTGGGAGGCCAAGGCAGGCGGATCACCTGAGGTCAGGAGTTCGAGACCAGCCTGAGCAGAATGGTGAAACCCCGTCTCTACTAAAAAAAAAATAGAAAATTAGCCAGGTGTGGTGGTGCATGCCTGTAATCCCAGCGACTGGGGAGGCTGAGGCAGGAGAATTGCTTGAAACCAGGAGGCGGGGGTTGTGGTGAGCTGGGATTGCACCGCTGCAGTCCAGCCTGGGCAACAAGAGTGAAACTCTGTTGTCAAAAAGAAAAAGAAAAAATCGAGTGTTTCCTCCATTCTCAGTCACCGTGCCTGAAGGAGAGGGGAGAAGGCACCCGAGGGTGACAACCACATTCTACGTCTCGCTTTGGGCTGCGGTTACACAGGTTTGACAATCGTCACAATTTTTTGAACTGGACATTTGAAGTCTGTGCATTCTGTTTAATTTTCTCTCAAAAAATATCTATGTATACATTCAGTTCTGTAGGAAGTAGAAAAGTTCCTCTTCAAAGTTTCCTTTCTTGTTTAAGAAAAATTATAAGTGTTAGAAATAATCGATTGTTTTAAACACTTTCTTCAAAAGCCTTCTTGCCTTTTTGCTAGAGGCCCTATCCTATGGAGCTGGTAGACACGCCATGCTTACAGGCACGTAGTACATTCTATGTCCTTGTACTTTAACCAAGATATCTGTGCTGGACGTGCTCACAGGCATGTCCCAACTCTCCATTGCTTTTACCTGTTTTAAGAAAAGTTTTAAGTTATTAGCCAATCGGGTGGTAGTTTAAATTGTGAGGTCTGGCTCCAGCCAACGGAGATCAGAAACAGCAGTAAGGATGACCCCAAATGCGTAAGAGATAAATATGTCTGCTTTCCTTTGTTCATTTTACTCCTGTGTCAAGATGGCTAGTGAGGGTACCTTTTCTGCGGGAAGTAAAAAGAATCGCTCTGCTGAGAGATCCTTTGTCCCAGCACTAATTTTTCTTTGCGGAACCAAAAAGAAAAATTTTATACATATCAGGTTCTCATTGAGACATATAAAGAGATTGGAATTCATCAATCCCATCCTCACAACCACATCAAAAATGCTGAGCGAGCTGAAATGCAGCTGAACAGCCATCAGAGAACTGAGCTCACAGGGAAAAGCACTGCCCCCAGACGGGACAGACAGGCGGCTGCAGAGAATCCCCACTCACAGGGCGGAAGCCAGGCGGGAACACGTCACAGGTGACTGATTGCTGGAGGCAAGAGTGGACGAGCTGAGGCCTGAACATTCCAAGTGCTGGTCTCAGGTAGACCCCACGCTTTCAGGAGGGTTTCCTCCTGGAGGCTGACAGGCTCTGAAGGGGAAGACTGGAGAAAAATCCCCTCATACTTCAGGAACAGGGAGGAGAGAAGTGAGTCATTGGAAACGCACCCAGAGATTTCTGTTCTCTATGACAAAAACCTGCCCTCCAGATCCCAATCCAACCTAGGGAAAGGGCAATGAGACACCTCAGCTCCCCCAGTTTTCCCATCAGCCCCAGGACTCAAGCCTGCTGTGCAGAAAGTGCTGAGATTCAATCCTAACAGCACAGGACATATCCTCGTCCCATGGCACCTCACTGCCACTCCAACAGCGCTTCGGTATAATTACAGCAGAGAAAAACTTAGAGAGTCACAGGACCATGATTCTATTTGAGAAGGAGTTTCTAGGGAAACCAAAGAAAACAAGCAAGACAGAAACAAGGACAGCAGAGGAAATCAAAGCCTCTTGCACTCACAGCTACAGCAAGCATCCGACACAGCCTGACCCCCAGCCAGAAAACAGAAAACCTCATGATAAAGCCTATTTACCTCAGCTCCTGCTACTGAAGGCATTATATCCAGTTCTCAACAAAAAGTTAGAAGGTGGCTAGGTGTGGTGGCTCATGCCTGTAAACCCAGCACTTTGGGAGGCTGAGACGGGAGGACCACTTGAGCCCAGGAGTTCCAAACCGGCCTGAGTAACATAGTGGGACCTCATCTGTACAAAAACTCAGAAAATAGGCCAGGCGCGGTGGCTCAAGCCTGTAATCCCAGCACTTTGGGAGGCCGAGGCGGGTGGATCACGAGGTCAAGAGATCGAGACCATCCTGGTCAACATGGTGAAACCCCGTCTCTACTAAAAATACAAAACATTAGCTGGGCATGGTGGCGCGTGCCTGTAATCCCAGCTACTCAGGAGGCTGAGGCAGGAGAATTGCCTGTAATCCCAGCTACTCAGGAGGCTGAGGCAGGAGAATTGCCTGAACCCAGGAGGCGGAGGTTGCAGTGAATCAAGATCATGCCATTGCACTCCAGCCTGGGTAACAAGAGTGAAACTCTGTCTCAAAAAAAAAAAAAAAAAAAAAAAAAAAAAAACTCAGAAAATTAGCCAGGTGTGGTGGTGTATGCCTGTGGTCCGAGCTACTCAGGAGCTGAGGTGGGAAGATTGCTTGAGCTTGGGAGGTTGAGGCTTCACTGAGCTGTGATTGCGCTGCTGCGTTCCAGCCTGGACCACAGAGCAAGACTCAGTCTCATTAATAATAATAATAAAAAAATTAAAAACCTCTACTCTGCAAGAGACATTGTTAAGAGAATGAAAAGACAAGCCACAGATTGGGAGAATACCTTTGCAAAACTTGTATCTGATAAAAGATGATTACCCAAAATGTTGGAAACAGATGCTCAGTGCCACAAAGAAAAATCAGCACTGAGACAGAGGATCTCTCAGCAAGGCAATTGTCACTTCTTGCAGGAAGGGAACCCTCACTAGCCATCTTGCCACGAGAGTACAATGAACAAAGGAAAAGCCGCATACTTATCCCTTATACATTTGGGGTCGTCCTTACTGCTATGTCTGATCCCCATTGGTTGGAGCCAAACCTCACAATCTAAACTAAAACCTGATTGGCTAATAACTTAAAACTTTTCTTTTCTTTTTTTTTTTGAGACGGAGTTTCGCTCTTGTTACCCAGGCTGGAATGCAATGGCGCGATCTCGGCTCACCGCAACCTCCGCCTCCTGGGTTCAGGCAATTCTCCTGCCTCAGCCTCCTGAGTAGCTGGGATTACAGGCACGCGCCACCATGCCCAGCTAATTTTTTGTATTTTTAGTAGAGACGGGGTTTCACCATGTTGACCAGGATGGTCTCGATCCCTTGACCTCGTGATCCACCCGCCTCGGCCTCCCAAAGTGCTGGGATTACAGGCTTGAGCCACCGCGCCAGGCCTAATAACTTAAAACTTTTCTAAGCAGGTAAAAGCAATGGAGAACGAAAGGAAGTCCCAATAAGGAAGGGACCTAGGCTGTGAGCTGGGACCTGCCTGTGAGCACATCCAGCACGGGTGTCTTGGTTAAAGTACAAGGACATAGAGCGTACTACGTGTTTGTGAGCACATCTAACAGCTACGGAGGATAGGGCTTAACAGAGAGTTATTAGTGAAAACCAAGAAGGCTTTGAAGAAAATCTTTAAAACAAACTACTATTTCTAACGCTTATAAAACTTTGAACTTTCCTACTTCCCACAAAAAATGTAGCAAGAACTCTCAAAATCAACATGAAAGAAAACAAGCAACCTAATTAAAAAGTGGGCACATCAGATAAATCTAGCAAAGAGATTAAAATAATGAAAAAAAAAAAAGTGGGCAGAAGATTCGAACAGACGCTTCATCAAAGAAGATATTCTAATGCCACATAAGCACACGAAAAGATGCCCCACGCTGTGTGTTATCAAGGATTGCAAATTAAAATGAGGATGAGATGCCACTGCACACCTTAGGATGGCTAAAATCCCTGAAACAGACAGCACCAAGGGCTGACAGGGAGGTGGAGCGAATGGAACTCTCATTCAGCTGATTAGAATGCAAAATGTCACGGCCACTTCGGAAGACAGTTTGGCAGTTTCTTACAAAGCTAAATGTACTCTTACTGCATGACCTAGCAATGGTGCTCCTAGGTACTTATTTACCCAGAGGAGTTGAAAACTTGTGCCCACACAAAAACCTGCAAGTAAATATTGATAGCATCTTTATGCATAATTGCCAAAACGTTGAAGGAACCCAAACGTTCTTCAAAAGGTGAATGGGTGACCAACTGCGGTACGTCCATACAACAGAATATCATTGAGAGATGAAAAGCAATGAGCTATCGAGCCATGTAAAGGCAAAGAGGGGCTGGCCGGGCACGGTGGTGGCTCATGCCCGTAATCCCAGCACTTTGGGAGGCAGAGGTGGGTGGATCACGTGGTCAAGAAATCAAGAGCATTCTGGCCAACATGGTGAAACCCTGTCTCTACTAAAAATACAAAAATCAGCCAGGCGTGGTGGCGCATGCCTGTAATCCCAGCTACTCGAGAGGCTGAGGCACGAGAACTGCTTGAACCTGGGAGGTGGAGGTTGTAATGAGCCGGTCGTGCCACTGCACTCCAGCCTGGGTGATAGAGTGAGACTC